CCAGCCTAGAAGAAACCGGTCTTTTAGCCCTCCGACCAGCTCCTGGATCTGGAAAACGCGCGCTTAGCTCCTCCTAGGCCCGCCTCGCCGGTCTGCAGCCGGTCTGCCTGGTGCGCCTGAGCGAGGGATGCGTTGGCACCTCCGCGCCTCCTCCTCTTCGCCGACTGGCTGGGCCACCCGCCCTCGGGAGGGGACGAGGAGAGGGGGGCGAGGAAAGAGCCTTTGGGGAGGCTCGTGCCAAAGCTGAAAAAAGCAGCAGCAGCAGCTCCCGGGCGCATTCGCGACTATTGGCTGCCCGGGCAAAGACCTACGTACTAAGCCCCGGGAGGCGGACGGGATTAGGGGGAACTGCTGGTGAAGAAGGAAAGAGCCAATTAGCAGCCCCTCTCTAAGCACCCCCTCGCCCGCCCCTTTAATTAACTGCCTGGGAGCAGAAGGTGTTGTCTTTGCGGGACTGCACCCCAAAAGGACCGAAAGTGATGAGTTGCGAGGACTTGGACGGACTTGCGAGGTTGTTCCACGCGCACACACACACACACACACCCCCATTGCGATAAACCACGTTTCCTTTGCGTGGTATAAAATGAGATTGCTTAGATTAGAAGACAGGAAGGGCGGGAGAGGACTCGCGTTCTTGTACGGGGAAAAAAAAACCACATTGATTTTAATGAGGTTTATTTATTTATTTATTTATTTTATTTATTTAATTACATTTATATCCCGCCCTTCTCCTTGCGGACTCAGGGCGGCTAACAATTGGATAAAATACAAACATACAATACACCTATTAAAATTAATTAAAAAGAAATATTTAAACTAATCTGATTAAAAGTATTTAAAACCCCTTTAAAATCCCTTAGGCCAGTCCCACAAGCTGGAACAACCATGTCTTGAGGGCGCTGCGGAAGGAAGGGAGATCAGGGATCACCCTGATCTCTGAGGGCAGTTCGTTCCAGAGGGTGGGAGCTCCCACAGAGAAGGCCCTCCCCCTTGGGGTCGCCAGCCGGCACTGTCTGGCTGACGGCACCCTGAGGAGACCCACTCTGTGGGAGCGTACAGGTCGGTGGGAGGTAATCTGTGGCAGGAGGCGGTCTCGAAGATAGCCAGGTCCGATGCCATGGAGCGCTTTAAAGATGATANGCAACCACACTCTCAACAACCTTCGCCACAAAGCGAAGGTTGGAGACTGGACGATAGTTGGCCAATACATCTGGGTTCAGGGAAGGCTTCTTAAGGAGGGGCCTCACCACCGCCTCTTTAAGGGCCGTGGGAAAGGCACCCTCCCACAGAGAAGCGTTTATAATTCCCTGAAGCCAGGCTCGTGTACCCTCCCGAGCCGGTTTACTTTTGAACGAGTTCGGTTAAGACTGCCGCTTTCTCAAAGAGGAGCTGGAAAGTGATCCGACTCTGGAACAAGCGTGGTCCTGCTTTTTTCAAAGGGATGTAGACTTAAAGTAACGTTTGATCAGTTCTACACTTAAAGGCAGAGTTTTCTTTGTAAGCCGAGGCACGCTGAATCTTATGGCAGAATACATTTATTAGCATTTTTTCTTTGCCACAGGCTAATGTGACTGTCAGTCTAACCATAATTTAAGGACATTTGTTATTTTTAACTTTTTTTGAATAAAAATGCTCCTAAAGGAGGCTCAGCGCAGCAAATCTCTTGTTAAGTACTTACCTAATTCAGCATACATATAGAAGAATCCTACTATTGAAAACGTAAGGCTTGAGCAACCTAGAGGCGATGCCAAGAATTGTGGTCCAACTTATTTAAAGGACACCAAGTTGAGGAAAGCTATGAATAAGGGACTAATATAAATTTACAATAGTTTGCATTGTGCATGTAGGCACACACCCATAAACTCACACCCTACCTAATGGCTTTTGTCTTGGAGAAAATTGGAACCCCTCTTCTGTTTGCACAACATGTCGAGAGAATAACAAACAACATTTATGGAGCTCAGTTATGCTTCGGACTTTATTAAATTGGAAACGGAAACTGAAATGAAAAAAAAATGGTTCTGTGTGTTTTGTAAAAAATCGCATTTTTCATTGTTATAGTCCAATCATGGGAGTTTTCCCACCAGGTCTTTGTTTTATCTATTAAATAAGATAGTTGTATTTAAGAGCTCAAACTCATCTTGTTCATTTTCTTTATGCTGAGCATTAATGTGTAGACTATGAACATTTTGCACCAATCTTTCTGTAATCTGTATCTTCCAAGTGACCCCAAAGAATTAATTTCCACATTTTTAATCACTCTAGCCCACGGATGTCAAACTCACCGAGTGTTCTGTCCCAGCCTACGTCCGTCCTTGTTGCGTCACAAGAACAACCCCTTTTTTATCAATAGGCTGGAAAAACCAACCCTTTTTATTTCATAAACAATCCTGATAAGTTTTCTCCAAAACAAAAACAACAGAATACTTTTCCAACAGATAATTGGTTAAAAAAGCAAACAGAGCAGGAGTTAAACATGAAATTCACCGGTAAAACAAACAGACCATGATCCCTTGAAGTTCTTTACAAACGGTTGCCTTCAGCCCACACCTTCCCTTTTTATAAAGCAGCCCCAAGGCGTGGCTTCTCAATGCCTTCTCCTCCTCCCTTGGAGTTGTCGTATTGACTCCCTCTGATTTGCTCTAGATAACTGCCTTCGTTTACTAGCGTCTATAATGACATCCAGCTGTGAGTCCTCAAAAGTCTGACTCATCTCTCCCACACAGCTGTGTCTCATCCTGAACATGATTGGAGGGGCCAGGCTCTTCATCCGATTGTGAATCTTGTAACTCGTCAGAGCCTTCCTCCAACTCTGATGGCTCCTCCTCTTCTGATTCCCTGGACTCAGCTGCCGGGATCACAGGCTGGCACGGACTCACAACACCGCGTCACGTGACATATCGTGACTTTTTTCGCATTGCCGGAGCTGGGGTGGGTGCGGCGTCCGCATGATGCAACCAGCCCGCGGGCCAGCAGTTTAACACCCCTGCTCTAGCTGAAATTCCTGAAGGAGATTTTTGTTCCACTTTTTTCCTCTCAGCTAGGCCTAAATTCAGAATTGTGAGCCACTTACATACTGAGAAGAAATATTAAACTTCTCTTGGAATAATTATCTGGCTGCCAAACCATGGAAACCTGGCAGCTGGAATATGGTCATAGGAAATTGTGACTTTTCGTGTTGATTTTCTTTTTAGATATGGAAGAAATTTGATGATAGCCAAGTTTGAACCATTCAAAATATAGAAGCAATAATTTTATGGATCCAAAATTTTTATAGACAAAATTCCAATTGTAATACACTGATTTTTACTATTAGGAATGCCTGTTGTACATTTTGATATGCACAAGTTATTTTGCACATCACAAGAGCATTTTGATCTACAGATTATTCTCTCCTTAATTATTTTCATTTATTTATATCCCACCTTTATTATATTGATAAACAACTCAAGGTTACAAGCATACCAATACTCCTTCCTCCTATTTTCTCCACAACAAGCCTGTGAGGTGGGTTTGGCTGAGAGAGAGTGACTGGCCCAAGATCGCCCAGCCAGTTTTCATGCCTATGACAGGACTAAAACTCCCAGTCTCCCAGTTTCTTGCAGCTTGCCTGGAGCCTTAACCACTAGACCAGGGGTAGGCAACCGTGGCTCTTTTATGACTCGTGGACTTCAACTCCCAGAATTCCTGAGCGGCTCAGGAATTCTGGGAGTTGAAGTCCACGAGTCATAAAAGAGTCACGGTTGCCTACCCCTGCATTAAACCAAACTGACTCTCGTCCCCTTGGCATTCTGTGGGACAAGTAGCTAAGATAAGCACTTGTAATGCCCAGTGCTAACGAATAATGGAATAAGATAAAGAGATACCTCAGTATCAACAGTCACAGTGTACCTCATAAAAATCACAATCAATTTTAATTTATCATTGGCATTAGAGAAAAATGGAAAGAAATGGTTTC